TCAAAAGCCAATTTAAACTTTGATTGAGTTTGGGGTTTCTTTCCAAGAAACCAAGTAGTTACGCGCACATTTAGCCGCAGACCACTTTCAAAGATTCGATCCACCGTCTACCGGCCAGTACACAACCCATATTGCTTCATGGGCTTTAGGAAAGACATCACATAGAACTAAAGCAAATGTCAAAAATAACATAGACTGGCCGCTCACCAAGCAAGTCCGTTTGAGGCGTCCACTTTGACAGTATCAAATTCTTCAAACCGTTTGCAAACGGTGCCTTTGTATTCTCGTATTTCCAAATAAATGTAATATCGGAATGTCTGAATTAATCGATTGTAAGTAGATTAGTAGGTTAAACACCTCATAACATACTAACTTACGACTTCACAAGATTCATAACGGCACGTTTGTAGGCATCTGGCATTTTCGAACTTTGCAAGACAGAGCCAAAAGAAATGAGTATGGTGCGGTAACGCATACCCAGGATTTGATCCCAGTACCAAAAGTAAAAAGATCTACCACCACATAAATTGTATTGTAACAGATGTATGTCTGGCAAATCTAGTAAGACTTATAATGTGCAAAAGACCAAAACATTGCATGACCACCTCAGTTGTCACACTTCCTTACTTCATTACTATCAAGAATTTAATACACACCTTTTCAAGCGGTTTAGGTTTGTGAACGCTGATACCACCGATATCAACAATTTTGTGTAGTGTCGGCTTTGCAAATTCTAACATTGGTTCAGTATTCGTAAGCATCCATGTCATGTTTGATACAGTATCCTTTAAAGATATTGGTTACGAGAAATCATTTATAGTATGTTTGAGCAAATCGGTGCAACCCACCCATATTGGAGTAATAGATTTTCCAAGCTTCTCGACCATCACCTTTTCGGCAGCTTTTGCAGCGCTCAGTTGAAAGTAGTAAGAAAGATACGTGTAGATAATGTTCTTGAGACGCGTTGAAAAAGAAGTTGAATCATCTGTGACTCCTTGTGAAGCTGAAATTCCGAATTTGTTTGGTCATTTGTTCTACCTTTTCATATC